AAATAGCAGAGAATAATGATACTTCCAGAAAGCACATCAATTTTAACAGCATCTGTACAAGTATACTCTGAAATATAACATCACAAACAGTGCATATTGTCTATACTGCTTGTTGCAAGGAGGCAAATTGCTGGGAGACAGAGGCAGATATTTTTCCTTTGTTTTCCTCCCCAAAATCTAGGTGTGTCTTATACTTCAGAGCATCTTATACTCCGACAAATACAGTATATAATTCTCAGCTGGCCTTAGTCACTGGTCATGCTGGGAATTATACATAAGTACATCTGAAGAGCACCAGATTGGGAAAAATTGATCTCTTGATGTTTTATATTGTTGATGGCTTCTGCAACCAGAGATTTGTTGATTACTGTGGGTTTTTTTAGAGATGTATGATACCTGAAGAAGATATTATAAACTTGTCTCTTAGAGCAACTTCAAAAGACTTATTGGAATTGACCTTCGTAGATTAGCTGCAGTTCACAAAAGCTTAAGTCTTCTAATAAAATTAGTTAATCAGAAAAGATGCTGTCAGACAGCTTCTGACATTTTGCTACCAATGTTATACAGATCTCCCCTTGCAAAATTTCAGTGTATATGCATGTGTGTTGGAAGGAAAGAAACAAAGATAAAAAAGAGCCAGGGCAGAGATGCAAAGTTTTAAGAATCATGTATATCAGGAAATGAGTCTGGTCCTACCCAACATCTTTCTGCTTGGCATTCCTTCCTCTGTATTTACTTCTAGGCAGTTGTGGGATTCAAATAATTTAACAACTGGTTCTCTGCCCTAATGGCCGGCTGGGTGGGCGTAGCTAGGGGGTGTGACAGGCAGTACTCGGCCTCCTGCATCCCCCTGGGAGCAAAAACGGGCTGCAGGGGGGTGCTGCCCCCACATGCCCCATTTTGGGCCTAGTAGGTCTCCCTGCAGTCTCCTGGGAGCAAAAACAGGGCTCGTGGGGACTCCTGGAAGGAGTGGGCTGGAAGGGGCGGGGCCACCCAGAAATTTAACAACCGGTTCTCCCTAACTGGGACGAACTGGCTGAATCCCACCACTGCTTATAGGAGGTAATAAATTAGACTACTTAAAGGTAACTGTAGTTTGAAACTATAGTAATTCTATTTTTACTGAAAGACTATTTCCTGTCCTATAGAATTTCTACCTTTCCTATGAGATTACGTTTCAAAACTCCATGCTTCTATCCAGGTTCCTATCAAACTGTCAGATGATTTCTACGACTTTAAATATGATGACCTTTCATTGGCAAAAATCCATGACAAAAATGTAATGCTTTTTTTAAAAAAAAATGTTATTTGAATTTCAAGTGGGTAAGACTGAACATATGTAAAATTATACACTATCCCCAAATTCATTGGACAAGTTAAGTTAGTATTGAAAGTTTGTTAGTGTATGATTGAGCATTGCAAACAAGAACAATCTTTCAACATTTAGTCAAATTAGATTTTTCATGTTTTACTGAGTGCGGTAGAGCAGCTGGCAGTCCATACACACAAAAAGATTAGATATATTCTTGTACATTGAGAAAAAATTGGACAATTGTGTATCAGTTAGAAATTAATATAATTCTGAACAGATTAAGCCAGGTTCAAGACTTGTACTTTGAAATCTGTACACCAGAAGAGCCTCTGTTGTTTTTTGGTTTCTCAAAAAGAGGTATATTCTGTTTACACAGCTCTTGCTTCTCATGATTATATACTGAAGATTGTTCCTACTGTGTATGAAGACATGAGCGGCAAACAGCGGTACTCATACCAATATACTGTAGCCAATAAGGTAAAGATATTACATTCCTTTCTAAAAAGGCTTGATTTAATACTATTTTCCAGTCTTGTGTCCGTTGTTCTTCTTTCAATGTGCCTTTATTTAAACAGTACACATAGCACCCTCTTCTGGAAGTCTAGAAAAAACAGAAAATAAAAAGTAAGGTTGAAGTACATTTAACTTGTGTGAATTTCAGTATAGTCAAACTGATAGGAATAAAAAAAATGTTTTTCAAACTTCTCAGTTTAGTCCAATAAAGTTTTCAGCTCAAAAACATACTCAATCACATAGATGAAGTGCTTGGACATGAACATTGGAATATATATTTTCAACTCCATGGCAATGAAAATATTATTTGCAGATTAACATGGAAAAAGGCTAGATATATGAATACTTGATAAACTGACATACGCTATAAATTGATTGACCAATCATTGCTTCCTGCTTTGTGAGTAACTGTCTTATATAGTTGAAGCATGGCTGAATTAATGGATTTTGAGATAGATCCTTCCTATCAGTTAGGTATAATTTTGTCTATCCAGGGCATTTGCTTCCTTTTGCAAAAACTAATGTTTAAAAAGAGATATGGTTTGCTTCAACCCTGCTAATCTCATATGAAAACATTTACTTTTACACAGATTTCCTACTACCTGACTTCATAATGCTACGTTTTGGATTTTTAAAATTATTATTCCCATTCTTTTCATTGTTTCTCAAGATCTTTTTAATATGCACTTCAGTTACCTGCCAGTTTTGGGAAATTTTTCCATTTCTAACCTTTTAAAGTTCAGGAATTAAAATGCTACTTTAAAATTACAGGACCTCAAAATATTGATTTTCTCTCATAGCCCAGAAAGTTGTAACTGCTACTTTACTGCATAAGAGGTACTAATTTTGTACTATCCATAATTGAATTAGATCAAGATGTAGTCATATATGGAGTAGGCCATGTGAAATCAGTATCTTAAAAAATCATTACTAGTTTAAGTCCAATTTGATTTTGAAGGTTGTGCTCTTTAAAGTTAACTTGGATTCCCATAAACATCTCAAATACTACCAGTATCTTAGGGAAAGTGAGTAGATGTATGTAGAAGTCATAGGTGTGTCTGTGTGTGTATTTATTCTCTGCCATTGATCCTTTTTTAGGAATATGTAGCATATAGCCACACAGGACGCATTATTCCAGCCATTTGGTTTCGATATGATTTGAGCCCTATTACAGTGAAGTACACAGAAAGGCGACAACCTTTGTACAGATTTATCACAACGGTAAGTAACTGTCACCTTCTTGTCCTTGCTTATTCATAAGCTGAGTGTATATGCTAGTGATTTAAGTCAAAAAAGAACTGTTATCCTGAACTTGTTCCCAGATGCATCTAGAAAGCAGAAAATTGTTCAGATAGGACAATGGGAAGATATTGGCTGAGACATTGATTGGGGAGTGAGGTTAAATTGTGAATTTTTAAATTTGATTTTAATGTAGCATTTTGTAAAAGATTCTCAAACTTATACTGCCACAGATAATATTCCCAAATATCAACTCTAGTATGCAAAGATTTTATTTTCATTACACATTATAATCCTGCCCTCACAACACGCTAGAATTCTAATACTACAGAATCAAAAAAGGGGAAGGTTTTTTTAGTGTTTGTTTTACAGATATTGTGTTTTCTTAACAACAGCCACAAAAATGGTCATAAAATTTGACCGGTCATGTGACCAACCCAATTTATGACCATCATGACATATAACCATAATTGTCAGGCTCCATTATGGTTGTATGTATTGTAGTGAAATGTTCTTTTTCTTTATTATATCTCATTATGCTAATACAGTAGTAAAAAGAAATGCAGTTTATTCATTATGAAATCATGATTTCATGGAACTGTAGCTAGGCGGCTTCTGAAGGACCACATATTACACACTACTCTGATACATCATTCAGTACACAACAAAAAAGTTAGGGTAATTTTGTGTTTTCAATCCTTTCTTTGTTATAATTTGTGGAGTCTTTGAATGACAGTTGGTTTTTTCTTTTAGTGCTCTTTACCTATCCCTTATCATAAGCTTTGTCATTTGCCCATTTGTCCTGGCTTCTGATCTATTCTATATGATAATAGTGGCTTGCCTATTTTAGCATTCTTCCATTTCTGAATCTGCTTCTTTGGCACCAGGATCCAATTGAATTTCTCACATCTTGGCTTGTTTTTTTAAATTCTAATGGAGTATGAAATCAACAAACCATCATGTTCTAGCTTTAGGTCTAAAGTTCTTGATCGAAGGGACAATGCCTGTTCATATGTGCTTTAGTGATATCAGCCTTATTCTATCATTACTAGACATTTTTCTTGTAAATACTATCCTTCCATTTCTGTTATGTTGAAATACCAGCCTCTTTGCTAGGACAAAATCTAGAGGAGCCTCATAGGACAAATTATTACTTCAGGCCTTTCAAACCTAGCAGAGTTACTCTCCAGCCCACCATCATTTTTGTTGTCCCAAGTCCCTACTACTCATCATGATTGACCCAGAGTTGAATTGGAGTTGTCATGATTGTGGAGAGGGCTTCTGGCCCAGGCAAAAATTATTGATTGGCTCAACATAATAGCAACTGGGGACATTATTTACATTTTTGGTGACTCACAGTTCAGAGTATTCTTTTGGCTTAATCATGTTTATTGATTGTTATATAATCATGAGATAGTGACGTTTCATGTAATAAATGTCCTAGCTCCTTAATTGTTGAAGTGAAATGGTGACTCTCCTAAGAAATCGAGTTGTTTCTACGTGTTCAGAGAATTCTCTG